TTCTATTCTATTCTATTCTAGCTGTGATCCAAATTCTCGTCTACCAGTTTACTTTGTTACACAGTTGTTTTTGCTTGGTAATATGATCTCCGTTATCTGTCTCAAGATACACCACCCCAAGGCCCCTCTGCATGAGGACCAGCACTGAGTCTGTTAATGGAATGTCATTTTGTAACTTGAAACTCCACAATCTGCTCAGATCCGAGCACATTCTGACCGCTGGAGGATATAGTAAGTTGTCCTTCGTGCTCTCCCGTTTCGGCAAATAACTGCTACATTTTTATATATATTTTCCATGTTTAATACCAAGAATATATTTTTCTTTTTATGAATTTTGATTTTGATTGTACTTACTCTTGGGTGGTAGTACGTTAGTATAATCTTGTTAATTATTAAGAAATAAGAATGGTGTCCGATATTGAGCGATGTCAATTTAAGCATTGTTAGAGCTGTGTAGCGATCGTTCACAAAATGTCTGATGTCAATTACCTCTAAGTTGTTTTATCAATAATGAAAGAGCACTGACACTGATATCAACATGGACGTAACCGGGATTTCTTCAAGATATACACTCCAAATTGGCAGTCGTATTGTAACATAACCTTTGAAACAGTCTGCGTTTGAACTTATCACGACCACTTTCGTCAGTTTTGTTTTGACGTCAAAAACACTCAGTCTGACAATTTCATCGGGATGTTTATCGGTAAATATGAATCACGAAAAATTCTTAATCACTGTGTCGTTTGACATAAATATCTTTCGTCTATCACCGCCAGGGTATGAACTTTCCAATGATATGAATTATTGGACATTTAGATTTCAAACAAGGGCGCTTACTTTACTTCGCTTGCCATATTCTGTACTATCAAGCTCTTCCAAACGTTGCAGTTCATTTTCAACAACCTTTCGCACATGACAAGGAATTCTGCGATGTGATTGTCTCACTGGTTGAATATGTTCATCAACATGCTATTTGACTTGTTCACTCTTGACTTGCCATTCAACATTAGGAAATTCACCTGCAATGTCTTTTGGTGTAATATGTCTTACCATTTGCAAGAGTTCCAAACTTTCTGCTGATTTAAAGGTAAGAATATTTCCGACGAATGACAAATGACATGGAATTCCCACTCCATTTCTACCTGTATCACGGGCAGTTTGACAATACCAATTACTGGCAATGGTGTGTCCGACCTATATGAGTACAATCTGCGTTTGGTATCAGTTAGTGTTTCTAAACCTCATCCATCTCACTTGAGCACATCCCAGGTATTTGGACCCATTATGTCACATGATGCTCCAGACTCATTAATGGCTGGAATTTCTTTTCAAGCAATGTCAAGAGACTTCACAGGCATGTTTGTCCAATTTTGATGTGCTGCTGAATTGATTCAGTGCTCATCATTCGTAAAATCACTATGATTATACGTGATCTAGAAGCAGATATTAATACTATAAACCTACAGATACTTTGCAATAGCTACAACATCTTGTCACCGAGTCATACAAAGAGAAGCATTCCATATGACTTAACAGGGCGTATCGGCACATACGACTTGCAGAACTAAAATCATATCTACAACATCCCGCGGATATCCGATTCTACTTGTCGAAAATGGGATAAAGAAAGCAACAACCACAGACAGAAAGACACTGTTGAAAGTGCGTGATAAGTAAATTAACAACACTATCAATCTAGCCTATGTATCTACGCACAATCCCCCAAACCGGAACTTTTTCATAGCATTAGAAATTTTTTCCAATTTCAAATGCTGATACATGTACTAATATAAATCGAATAATGGCTAATGTAACAATGATAAAAAGTAAAGTCGGAACTTAAACAAAATATTAACACACGCCAAATTAGACTCGTGTATTAAGTCTACAGAATTCAGTGTCTCAAAATGTAAACGGGGAACTTGTGAATTTATAGTTGAAAATCCATGTATAAAGTTCAAAAACAGGAAACAATCATTTCATGTACGCTCTAACCTGCACCGCTCACTTTTGTTACTATATGCCAAGGGGGCGGTCGGGCAGCCTAGTGGGTTAAAGCGTTCGCTCGTCACGCCGAAGACCGGGTACAATGTGTGAAGCCCATTTCTGGTGTCCCCCGTCGTGATATTGCTGGAATATTGCTAAAAGCGGCGTAAAAACCATATTCACTCACGCACTCACTCACTATATGCCAAGGGTGTCATGAGGAATACATTTGACAAACGGAGTGCTTAAGGGACAGAATGTCTGTCCATAAACAACAGATAAAGGCCCCCAAAACAAGGTGCATCCCCTAAGCGCTCACATCGACAAATGCACAGCAGGAAAGGATATAACATTTAAGATATTCCCCTTTTTTTAAGAAGATAGTCTGCTGATGCCATGGAAGGTAAAGCTAAAGAAAACTTTTTTCATTAAAAAGTTGTGTCCATTGTTAAATAGGTAACGCAATGTAAACTAAAGTTCAAAACTTTAAGTGTAAAATGTTGATGCAAGTGATTCTGTGTTTTCAATTCACTTCTTGTCAATCGTGCAAATATCAAACGCATACAGTCAGCTGGCGGTCACTGTATATGACTCGGGGTATTAAAAATTAGTTTTCACAAAGTTCGTGACCTAGGCTGTGGCCAATAAGTGGGCGGAAACATCAGCGGACAATAAGGTGGCATTGGGGCGACGTCGTGAATGCCGCGTATGACCTCCCCAGCAAGGATGCACGCCTCAATGCTCCGTCTCATGGATGACGTCAAACGTCTGATGACGATTGCCGGAATGTGTTGCCAAACATCCTGCAAGGCGTGTTCCAGGTCCTGTAAGTTGTCTGGATGGTTGGATCGTCTCCTTAGCTCTCTACCCAGATGTTGCCTCGATGAGAGAGAGAGAGAGAGAGAGAGAGAGAGAGGAGAGAGAGAGAGAGAGAGAGAGAGAGAGAGAGAGAGAGAGAGAGAGAGAGAGAGAGAGAGAGAGAGAGTATGGTTCTACGCGGCTTTTAGCAATATTCCAGCAATATCACGGCGGGGGACACCAAAAATGGTCTTCATACATTGTACCCATGTCGGGAATCGAACCCGGGGGATCCGGCGTGACGAGCGAACGCTTTAATCACTAACAGTATTCCAGGTCAGAATGCTCTCCGACAACCTATGCTTGTCGTACGAAGCGACTTATGGATACAATACGTCTTCGGCAACCCATGCTTGCCGTAAAATGCGACCATGCTAGTCGTAAGAGGCGACCAACGGGATCGGGTGGTCAAGCTCGCTGACTTAGTTGATGCATGTCATCGTATCCCAATTGCGTGGATCGATGCTCATGATGTCAATCACTGGATTGTCTGGTCCACTGACCGCGGTCATATAGCTGGAGTATTGCTGAGCGCGGCGTTAAACAAAGAACAACACAAACAAACAAATCATTAGACAGCTCTGATCGTTATTATGGGCTACTCATGAATGTGCACAGGTAGTTCGTATGGAGAATAGTGGTAGCCACTCAATCGGATTAATGAACAAAAAAGTTTCCTTTTCCGTGATGATTCGACTTGAATGAAACTTGCTGAATTGCCCACTGGCTCAAGTCTGCCTCCCCTTTTTAAAAAAAGAAGAAGCTAGTCATTTAAACCAATTAGATCAAACAAAGGTTTAATACATGTAGTTATATATTATTTTATTGACCTAGCAAAAGATGCATACGTTTGTTGTACGTTATGAAACCCGTGAATAGTTCTGGTATCTGACTCGTTTTCTCTCGTCAGATACGAGACCTATTCACTCGTTTCATAAAATTGTTATTACACGGGAGCGAGTTTAGTATTCTATATAACTGAACTAGCATCTGGGCTCTGTAGCTCACCGACACTTTCAGAGCCATACATCTATGTTGACAGTTTACTGGTTCATAAATGTTTATCATCGGGCTGTTCAAACAGGTCAGCTCAGGTGACAGAACACAGGTGTGTCATACAAGTAATCACAAGCAGCTGACATATATCTGTCCCCATGAGTGAGTTTGGTTCAATGCAGCACCTGAGAGTTTCTAGGGCTTTGGTCCTGCCCCACACTGAAGCACCTGTGTTCACCCAGCAGTGAATGGATACCCGGTGGGATGAGATGGCAACCTCTCATGGCAAGATGGTTAACCTTCTAGCACCTAAAAGGTAGCTTGGGTTGTATACTCCCTAGGGAGCTGAGAATGATAGTTGAATGCACACTGATCCAATGACCAGGGTGATAATAGTGTTGAGCTTTGATCATGCCCCTGTGGTGTGTGAGTGAGTTGGGTTTAACGCCGCTTTTAACAGTATTCCAGTTATATCGTGGAGTCAGCTTAATGTGGGAGGAAAGCCCGAAGTGATGCAGGTCTCAGACGTTTACCACTTCGGTGAAACCCACGAACACGGGTATGGTGCTGACAAACCTAGAAACATAATCGGGGCGAACCGGGATTCGAAACCACTATCATAGGTTTCTGGCGTGCCCAAGGGACGCAACTCTGCACAGCGAATCGAGGCGCCTCAGGCAACTGGGCCACCCGTGCCCCTGTGGTGTGGATATAGGGCAATATAAATAGGCTCATTATTATTATTAGAAAAAATATTCCAGGAATTGGTGTGTCAGCTAATGTGGGAGGAAAGCCTGAAGTGATGCAGGTCTTTGACGTTTACCACTTTAGTGAAACCAATGAGTATGATGCTGAAAAGCCAAGAAACATAAATCAAGTCAAACCTGATTCGAACCCATGACCATATGTTTTTGGCACGCTTATGGGTCACAGTCGACTCCTGGCTGACTAGAAGTGATATACATGGTCAGTTGAGTAAATAGTACTGAGAGCTACCTTGTTGAATGAGTGAGTTTGGTTTAGCAGGACTTCTAAGACCTGCATCACTTCGGGCTTTCCTCCCACATTAAGCTGGTACGCCATGATATAACTGGAATACTGTTAAAAGCAGCGTTAAACCCAACTTACTCACTCACTGAACAAAAAAACATAACAGAATCCAGAATATCTTCATTTGTTTAATTCAAATTTCAACTTAATACATAGAGTAACATCTTAACAGTATATACATGTCCTCTTTCCAAATAATACTTCATCCATTCAAATATTTCTTCAGTTGTATTAAACATTATACATTAAAACAGGGTATAGAAGACAAGGAAAGTTATATAAAAAAATAGAAAACGTTTTCCTCAAAAATGAGATGATAAATTGAGAAAAAGATGGAATTCTCAACATTAGGAATTCTTGACAAGATGTGGAATGCTATATTCAACCCAAGCGTAATACAGCTCCATGGATTTATCAACTGGTAGCTAACACACACATAATGCTTCCAGGTACTTACGGGGCTTGGTCTGAAGCAAAAACATATCTCAGGTTGACTTTCCAAACTATTCCAAACATTCTTTTACAGAGACAATCCAAGAACTATTTTCAATTGGAATTTTCCCCAACAGGAACCAGGGCCCATTCCAGAAAGATTTACTGCTGCTACAGCTGTCTGAGAATCTGTTCAAGTATTGGACTTGTGAGTCATAGTGGGACGATACACTGATGCATTGTGGATTGTGATTTTTTACTTCTGGATACAAGTATCAATCACAGTCGCACACAAAGTAATTAATATCATTCTTACTTCAAATGTTTGCTTTAATAACTATTACACCAAACACTAATTAGTATTGAAAATTAGTATTGAAAACAAATATTTTCATCCATTGTGACATACTTGACACTGCCAACTGTAAATCGTCAGTGTGCCAGATATTTGGCCATCCTGTCTTTGAAAAAGATGGATTACACACAACAGCTAAGAGCATGTGCAAGTATCATGATATGTATCGGATTGTGAACAAGGTATCGTGATACGTATCTGATCGCACAAGTGGTGTATCATCCCAGTCCAAAACACATGTATCACTTTGTGAACTGGGCCCATCAAGTAATGATACCAGTTAATCAAGATCAAGATTTTTTTCTGGAGTTACAAGACATGGTGTTTTAACAAAACGTCAATGATTTGTTTGAAATTATTTTGCAGGAAAGGGTTTTTGGACAAGACTCATTGGTCTGCAGTGTCAGGCACCTGTGGTGGCGGCAGCTCCTCCATCTCCGGCAGCATGTGTCCAAGATAGCTGATGCTGATTTCCCCTTTGTTGTCGGTCACTTCTACATCCATGACGCCACTCATGCAGAACACTGAAACAACAAACGCTGTTATTACATACAGTCCATAACAACCAACCAGATTTGTTGACATGGTATTTCCAGTGTTACGTGCACACGGTAATGTCTTTGTGTTGGGGGAAAAAACATCAAAACTCATTGTGGCGTGTATAATGCGCACCCCCTTCTACACAGCTGTGTTTTTTTTTATAAAAAAAATGTTTTTTGGTCCCATCCATTTGCTGTATATATTCTGTACATGTGCTTATATAAAACTATGTTTATAATTAACAAAAATGTGTGGTCCCTATGAGTTTGTTATAACCATAGTTTACTGTAATACAAAGTTTTCCGCCATATTCATTGGCCGCAAAGAGGTAACATGTCATTCAACAAAAACGCATAAGGACTCCAAGTTAGGTGTGATAATTTACGGTATTGACTAGCGTTACTAAAACTAGAAGTGGTATTCCCCAAACCTAAGCCAATCAGATGTCTACGTTTGTTGGCACCTCCTACCATCATTGTAACCCTAGTTTGATATGTTGAAAGTATTTTTTACAGATTATAGAACAAAATAATTTTTTATGGACCCGAAAAAGAACAACAAATGTAACCCACCAGGAGAAAAGGGATCGCATGGATGCTAGGATACAACTGTGCTATGACGTCATAAAGACGTTTGACGTCAACTTACATCAGTAAAAATCGCAAAAATAATGTACAAAAATATATTATTTCTCTCTTGTTAGTTTGTAATGTAACAAAAACATTATTTCACAACCTTTCAGCATACATGTCTACTTTCAATTCATTATGTCTAAATATTGACATAATCCCATAAACAGTTACAAGTCTGACAATGAGTCCAAATGTTTGATGTCACATATCTCTGTAATAAATATGAATCAAAGCTTGTGAATTGTATTTTTGTGTTCGTAAGATTCGGTAGTTTTAAAATATGACAAGAAGTCAAAATGTCATTGTTCACCATTAAGGTCCCTCATCTCATAGTAGGTTACAAATATAGAGCTCAGACTTCTTGATTCTAGAATAACATCACAAAAGTCATAAACTGAAAGGTTTTAATTTTTAAAGGAAACAAAAGTCACTTACATGTAAAAAATCCTCTCATAAACATGTCTATATACAAACCTGTATTGCGATACAGGTCTGTATGCATAGTTTATTACATCAAAGGCCAATGGTGTATCGTTTCACTAGTAACCTGATAAAAATCATCCACCGACTGTTTACTTCGTTTATATACATATATGAAGATAGACAGGAGCCCAGTCAAATAGACATCAGTCATACTCAAAGGGAGATAAGTCATGGTGAGTTTTGGTTGAGTTTAAATTATAGCAAAGGCTTATTTCTATGAAATTAAGACTTTCATTTTATGTATAAAATTCATAGGTGGATGTATTTGATTAAAAAGTATCAATTATAATAATTAATAGCACAAAATCAGTTTCATGTTTTGCTACCAAAAATTCCCTTTTCACGAGAACAATTATGTTCATTTAGACGATTAACACTGTCATACAGATATTATTCATAGCGGCAAGGAAATTAGCAATATAATTTTTTGCTTCATGCTGATTGGCCAGTTCACATCAATTGATCCATTGTTTTCACTGTTTACTAAGCAGTCCACCGTGACTTCACATCGACGTATTGTCACAAATAATTAAAGATGATGTCTTCTGTAGTGCATGACGTCACAGACAGTTTTATGCGACATAGTTCAAACAAAGGACTGTCTCAGCTGGCGCCTCTGCTTTTCTACATTGTCCCAAAAAAAGACAATGGGTCACATATAAAATATCCGACTCACAACTAGGAATTACAGATTAACTGTTGCTTGTGAAATGAATCAAATGATGTTGATTTTTGTTTGTTGAATTTTCAATTAATTCATTTGGGACATAATCCATAGTTTCTTGTAAGTTATTCTGTAAGTAGATAATATTTTCTCATCTGACCTTCTCTTTTCTGGCAATGATTGTAGGTCATAGACTGTTTTATCTTTTCAGCAGCGCCTAAATAGGTTCTATATTCCTGGAGAAAATTGCAGAAATCCTTTATATTTGTAAAAAAGATATTTTTGCACACCAACGGTAAAATGGACTATTGAGGGATAAATACAATCGAGCCTGCATCCATTGTGACATACTTGACACTGCCAACTGTAAATCGTCAGTGTGCCAGATATTTGGCCATCCTGTCTTTGAAAAAGATGGATTACACACAACAGCTAAGAGCATGTGCAAGTATCATGATATGTATCGGATTGTGAACAAGGTATCGTGATACGTATCTGATCGCACAAGTGGTGTATCATCCCAGTCCAAAACACATGTATCACTTTGTGAACTGGGCCCATCAAGTAATGATACCAGTTAATCAAGATCAAGATTTTTTTCTGGAGTTACAAGACATGGTGTTTTAACAAAACGTCAATGATTTGTTTGAAATTATTTTGCAGGAAAGGGTTTTTGGACAAGACTCATTGGTCTGCAGTGTCAGGCACCTGTGGTGGCAGTGGCGGCATCTCCTCCATCTCCGGCAGCATGTGTCCAAGAAAGCTGATGCTGATTTCCCCTTTGTTGTCGGTCACTTCTACATCCATGGCGCCAGTCATGAACAACACTGAAACAACAAACTCCGTTATTACATACAGTAAACTACGTCCATAACAACCAACCAGATTTGTTGACATGGTATTTCCTGTGTTACGTGCTCATGGTAATGTCTTTGTGTCGGGGGAAAAAACATCAAAACTCATTATGGCGTGTATAATGCGCACCCCCTTCTACACAGCTGTTTTTTTTGATAAAAAAAATGTTTTTTGGTCCCATCCATTTGCTGTATATATTCTGTACATGTGCTTATATAAAACTATGTTTATAATTAACAAAAATTTGTGGTCCCTATGAGTTTGTTATAACCATAGTTTACTGTAATACAAAGTTTTCCGCCATATTCATTGGCCGCAAAGCGGTAACATGTCATTCAACAAAAACGCATAAGGACTCCAAGTTAGGTGTGATAATTTACGGTATTGACTAGCGTTACTAAAACTATAAGTGGTATTCCCCAAACCTAAGCCAATCAGATGTCTACGTTTGTTGGCACCTCCTACCATCATTGTAACCCTAGTTTGATATGTTGAAAGTATTTTTTACAGATTATAGAACAAAATAATTTTTTATGGACCCGAAAAAGAACAACAAATGTAACCCACCAGTAGAAAAGGGATCGCATGGATGCTAGGATACAACTGTGCTATGACGTCATAAAGACGTTTGACGTCAACTTACATCAGTAAAAATCGCAAAGATAATGTACAAAAATATATTATTTCTCTCTTGTTAGTTTGTAATGTAACAAAAACATTATTTCACAACCTTTCAGCATACATGTCTACTTTCAATTCATTATATCTAAATATTGACATAATCCCATAAACAGTTACAAGTCTGACAATGAGTCCAAATGTTTGATGTCACATATCTCTGTAATAAATATGAATCAAAGCTTGGTTGTACTTTTTTGTGTTCGTAAGATTCTGTAGTTTTAAAATATGACAAGAAGTCAAAATGTCATTGTTCACCATTAAGGTCCCGCATCTCATAGTTGGTTACAAATATAGAGCTCAGACTTCTTGATTCTAGAATAACAACACAAAAGTCATAAACTGAAAAGGTTTTAATTTTTAAAGGAAACAAAAGTCACTTACATGTAAAAAATCCTCTCATAACTGTAAAAAAACCATGTCTATATACAAACCTGTATTACGATACAGGTCTGTATGCATAGTTTATTACATCAAAGGCCAATGGTGTATTGTTTCACTAGTAACCTGATAAAAATCATCCACCAACTGTTTACTTCGTTTATATACATATATGAAGATAGACAGGAGCCCAGTCAAATAGACATCAGTCATACTCAAAGGGAGGTAAGTCATGGTGAGTTTTGGTTGAGTTTAAATTATAGCAAAGGCTTATTTCTATGAAATTAAAACTTTCATTTTATGTATAAAATTCATAAGTGGATGTATTTGATTAAAAAGTATCAATTATAATAATTAATAGCACAAAATCAGTTTCATGTTTTGCTACCAAAAATTCCCTTTTCACGAGAACAATTATGTTCATTTAGACGATTAACACTGTCATACAGATATTATTCATAGCGGCAAGGAAATTAGCAATATAATTTTTTGCTTCATGCTGATTGGCCAGTTGACATCAATTGATCCATTGTTTTCACTGATTATTAAGCAGTCCACCGTGACTTCACATCGACGTATTGTCACAAATAATTAAAGATGACGTCTTCTGTAGTGCATGACGTCACAGTTTTATGCGACATAGTTCAAACAAAGGACTGTCTCAGCTGGCGCCTCTGCTTTTCTACATTGTCCCAAAAAAAGACAATGGGTCACATATAAAATATCCGACTCACAACTAGGAATTACAGATTAACTGTTGCTTGTGAAATGAATCAAATGATGTTGATTTTTGTTTTTGAATTTTCAATTAATTCATTTGGGACATAATCCATAGTTTCTTGTAAGTTATTCTGTAATTAGATAATATTTTCTCATCTGACCTTCTCTTTTCTGGCAATGATTGTACGTCATAGACTGTTCTATCTTTTCAGCAGCGCCTAAAGAGGTTCTATATTCCTGGAGAAAATTGCAGAAATCCTTTATATTTGTAAAAAAGATATTTTGTGCACACAACGGTAGAAATGGACTATTGAGGGATAATACAATCGAGCCTGCACTTATTTGTTTTGCACAGTTTGAGTGGAAAATACAAGAGCATTGCTATGAAAAGTTTAGATTTGTGTGTGTGTGTGTGTGTGTGTGTGTGTGTGTGTGTGTGTGTGTGTAAACTTTCCAGCAGAATTTAAAAGAGAACGGTTTCACATCATCCCAAAAGCTGTTTAAAGAGATTTCTAACAAATCTAAGTCTTAACTACAAATGAGCGCAACAAACCTGATTTCAAGCATTTTTTTAGCTCGTTTTGACACATCTGCCTATGAACACAACCTATTTGAAATTAGAACCTTGTGAAACTCAATATGACAATGTTCGTCTTCCATGCAATAAACTAGAATCTCATATTTACGCCAGACAAACAGCCCAGGGGAGATAACCCTTGGCTAAAAACTTTGCCTATTGATGGTGTGATGAAAATGTAGTCTTTCCACAGTATACAATGAAATGATACAAAAATGCTCTTGCATCCCTCATGGCCTCTGTAAATCATTGCTCCCTCTGACAGAAGTGCTGCAAGCTTTCAAATTTACAGAAATATATCTTGCTTGCAAATAACCACTGAATCACTGATAAAATCCCCCAAATCTGTGTCCATGCAAAAATGTTATTTTCAGGAGTCAAAACAGCATTAAGCATTAAGGCCCTGGGGCTTGTCTCACAAAGCGATTTAGCGCCAAGTCGGTCTTAACTCCTATACTTCAACATAGACATGTGTTATTGAGTATTCATTACACAAACATTTCATTTGAATCCAACAGCATCAGACAAAGGTTTCAAATGTTAGAATTTAAATAATGTGTTGAAAAAGTCCTTTTTTAACCTAAAATTTAACCTACCGGTACTTCAGAATAGTTCCTCAATCCCTATCCAGTAATTCCTGATAAAGTCACAAGAAATAAGAATGTTATTTACTTGGTCTATATATGAACATTACAAAGTAGACACAATTTGTTGATAACATCTTCTTTAATACTGTAAAGGCCACGTTTCGGTATATATCTTTATACTGTTGTGAAGCAGTCTTGCTTGAGAACAGTATAAGGATCTATACCATAATGTCACCTTTACAGTATTAAAGAAGTTGTTATCCACAAATTGTGTCTAATTTGTCATCCGTCAACTTATAAGTAATGCCTATCAAACAATATATGAACATTGTTTTGATATTTAAAGTGCAAATAAACAACAAGACTTTTTCTAAGTAATACCTGCTACATGACGATTTATTTGTTGCTCTCAACAGTCAACACCACACTCAGCAATATTTCAGCTATATGACCAGAAAATCCAGTGATTGATATCATGAGCAATGATCCACACCAGCAGGACACAATGCCATACATCAACCCAGTCACCCCGCCCCGAGCTGGGAACCCGTTCTAACCTCAAATGGGACTTGCAGTTCTACAAAACAGAAGCGGATCTCACATCCTACCTGTATCTCCCTCCCTCACGGTGACGCTCACGGGCTGACAGAGCTCAACACATCCCTGGTGTGGGCGGAACACGAGGGTCCGCGTGCCCGTCCCCTGGGTGTACCAGCTGTACACTCCGCATGTGCTGCCGGGCTGGAAACACAGCACGAATATACAACAAAACCCTGACGCAAGGCATCAACATGGCAAGTCATTACAATAATATATTTTCCGAAAATCTTAAATTAAAACAGGCATGTTTAAACAATAGGAACAATACTTGCTTCAATTCATTCCATTTTACATCTAAAGCCATGTCAGACTACTCCCATACATACTGAATTTGATGAACACTCATTTCCACGGTCACATGGTTGATGAGCTTACCGCCATGCAGGCACTGTCTCCCTCCAAATATTGCGAAATTATTTTATATGAAAAAAGAAGATATTTCAGATTATTTATTTTTATTATATTATACTTCTTATATTATACTTTGATATCCCTAAAGAAATTTGGGTTACATCAGAACAAGGTCTCATTGATAAACACATACAAATATATAAGAGCATCACAAACATTATTAACATTAAATGAGGTACTTGTGACTAATCAACTTGTCACAGAACCTAAGAAAGAAATTGATTCGGTTCTTCGCAAATGTTCACTTCCAAATATGCCATCTGTGTCCGATCTGCAGATGAAAATTGCAGCTCTTAGAGAGCGCAATACTGTGATGCAGCAGGCTCTTGCCGCTCGCCATGGGGCACACTGGCCTACCTGCCTGGATATTCCCACAAACAGGCCCCAGCTTGATGAATTTATCGCCAAGGGCTGGGAGGCAATGGCCGTGCTACAGTCTGCCGAGGGTAGGCGATTTCAGCAGCAGCTTGACCAGCGTCGCGCTGCTGACGCCTTCATCCGAGGTATGGCACATGGCAGTGGCAGTCAGCCGGCATAATAATCTGTCTTGGAGAGGAAGTTTCCTTCTAATTTTTCTTGTAATTTCTTTTTATGAAGGCTCTTATCTTTTCTTTCATTGATCATCTTATGTTTTCTCTCTTGATTTCTTTGAGATGTATTCTTGTGTTCATTGATTCATGTGGAAAACAGCCAGACCCATATCCTGGAAAAGGACAGAACATTCTATTCAAGAACTGTGTGTGAAGAAACTGAACTGTGTTTTCAAGGACCAAAGATTGTGCTTCACTGACATATTTCCTGGTGAAGAATTACCTTATTATAATAATAAGAATGTGTTTTCATATCTAAGGATATTAATTCTTGGATTTCCATTTTTTGGGATACATGTAAGTATTATAACGGTGTCCATTGATAATCAACAAGGTAAGAAGTTATAATTGAATGTAAATGATGTAATATAACATGTAATAAGTTGAATTATTGTTATTCTTGCACAACAAACCCTGTTCTTTAACTGCAGTTGTAAGGGCTAACTGCAAGAAAAAAAACAAACATGAATATTTATAGTGGTATAAATATTAACAGGATGAATTTTTTTGCTACTTGAAATGCAATGTATAATACCATGTTTATGAAAAAAATGTTAACTCGGGACGAGTCTTCTTTAAAAAAAAGGGGCTATTGTAATAGTCAGGCTCGGTCGAAAACGACCAAGACCTTCGGTTTTCGTCCACGTTCCCGCGATCGTTTGAAGTTTTAATAGTTATTAAATATATGATTATTTATTAATACATACACGTCTTGTGTGTAAAAACTATGTATAGTGTACGTATTAGATCAATTAAATGTTTCATAGTAATATTTAACAGTTATAGTTAGCTCCAGTGATCGGCTCAAATAGTCCCGCGATCTACTGGTGCTTACGTCATCAAAAGTTGGGTAGTTTATTCCGGAATTGTTTCATGCTCTAAATCCACTAAAGTAAATATATTTATTCCAAAAATACTTACGTAAACACCTTCCTGGACATGTTATTGAGTAGATTACATCCATCCTAGATAATGTCACGTCGTTTATTTGGTGTTTAATCGCATTCTTCTCGCTCTAACTTTTGGCGTCTTCTGCTACATGTATTTCCGGAAGTGACGTCACCACGAATATAATCTCGTTCCAAATCAGTTGCAGAAATAACAGACTCAACGTAAGTTGTAGTTTTTGGTCCAGCAAGTTTTTAGAAATTTTATAATGATTCCATAGACTTGTTTACAGTTTTTTTATTAACAATTACCGTGCAGCATTATTGGCTCTGCCTTTGCGCATAGTAATTATTCTTTTTCGAGTAGATTAAACAGAATTTGTAGAAATTAATTATCTAGAATCTAACTGTCAAAACTGACAAGCGTTAAAAATAGAGTACGACTTGCAGTTAGTTCATGTACATATTGAAATTGTAACTGTCATTATTAATAAGAACAACAACAAGTAAAGATTTCAATTGACTTTTATTATTTGTTATCGTTTCTTTTACATCCGTTTTAACAATATCTCTTGGAAACTGACGGTTGGGTTGGGACTGAAAACATCCTGACAACCACGTTTTCCCCACCCCCAACCCGTTACACAACTATTGTTCATCACAGAACTGGTACAAGTTGTACACACATATCCAATTGCTCACACAGCTTCTACACAACATATAGGGGCGGTTGGGTAGCTTAGTGGTTAAAGCCTTTGCTTGTCACGCCGAAGACCCGGGTTCGATTCTCCACATGTGTACAATGTGTGAAGCCTGTTTCTGGTGTCCCCCGCCGTGATATTGCTGGAATATTGCTAAAAGCGGCGTAAATCCACACACACTCACTCTACACAACATAGAATACGAACCAGTCCTTGCGACCATCTGGAGTGAGTGAGTGAGTATGGTTTTACCCCGCTATAAGCAATATTCCAGCAATATCACTGAGGGGAACACCAGAAAAGAGCTTCACATATTGTACCTTTGCTGGGAAATGAACGGCGTGACAAGTGAAAACTTTCACCATTTGGCTACCCCACCGCACCACGACCATCTGGAGGAACATACAGTATTCTTGTGCTCACTCTTGATCTGGCTTTGGTGGTATCTTAGACATTTATCAAAATGAGGCCAATGTCAGTTTAGTAAAATCTAAATATTTTTTACATTTGTATACTTATCCTGCATTACTCCGTATTGCATTTACTGCTGTCTTTGACAGAGAGACGAACTGTGTGAGATCCAGCTGCTGAAGAAAGTTGTTTCCATCTGTCCAGGAAGCAGCGCCCCCTCCCACACAGTCGGCACGTGACCCGGAAGACATGACGTCATGTCAAAACTCATAACTGCTTTAACATAACATCGGAAACTTCGTGGGGAGGAAGCGGAGCGCAGGGGGGGCACTTAGACTTCGTAATGCAGGATAAGTATACAAATGTAAAAAATATTTAGATTTTACTAAATTTTTTAACTTATCCTGCATTACTCCGTATTGCATCTTTATCAGACGGCACGGCCGGTGGGCATACCTTCAGATGTGAGCCAGAAGAAAACCCTCGACAAAGGTCCGATGAAATCGCACCGCATGGACAAGAGATGACCGGAACACCAGCGACCATTCCTGTCAAAGGAAACGAGAGTCGATGCAAAAGAGGGAACCCGAAATAGGTGACAGAAATAGTATGAGGCGGGAATGCCAAAACTAGCACTGACCTAAGAGCGAATGCGGAACGCAGTAGAGCCCTCTAATCTGTGGTGATAAACACCAGCGAGTTCGACGGGCCCCGCTCAGGGTAACGGAGAATCAGTGGCGTCGGGGGTTGGTGACCTGTTGAGCTACCACCAGGGGACCAAAGCTATGAACGCCAGCGACATCTTCCAAGGCTACATCACGGAGGTAGTGGTTGGCGAAAACGGTGTCGGAACGCCAAAAACAGCCTTCCATGATAGATTTGAGGGAACAGTTACTGTGCAGAGCCATGGTAGACGCGACCGCCCGAATCTCGTGGGGGTTGTTAGCCTTGGGGGGGTCCAATCCGGCGACTTTATAAGCTTGGAGGATGACCGCCCGGAGCCACAGGGAGATAGTATTCCGGCTGACCTCCGACAGCGACGAAGGGGAGACCGGTAGGAAAAGGCGTTTCCTAGACTTACGGCAGGCTTTAGATCGTCGCAGGAAAACCTTCAGGGCCCTAACTGGGCATAATAAAAGCTCCTCCACGTCGTCGGCACCCACAATCGACGAAAGTGGAGGGATGGTGAAGGATCTATCAGGCTGTCCGGGGAGTTGATTCTTTGCGATGAAGTCCCAGCACAGCCCAAGATGAACTGCTCCATGAGTCCCGCGTTCGAACCTGACCCGAGAGACGTCGAGGGCGTGGAGCTCACTAACCCGGGCGGCCGTAGCCAAGGCCAGTAGAAACACCGTCTTCTTCGTTAAGTCGTAAAAGGAAGACGTGTGGAGTGGTTCGAAGGGAGCCTCCCGAAGAGCCTTTAAGACCACATTCAGATCCCACGCAGGCGGTCTGAACTTGGCTTTCTGGTCGTCGAGACGAAACGAGCGCAGCATAGCCTGGAGTTCGGGAATTTTCGTCATTCTCCGGTCGTCCGGGATGGCAAGGACGGAGTTAATGGCGACCAGGTACGTGGAGATGGTAGAGCCTTTTAATCGACGCGTGCTGCGCAAATACAGAAGAAACTCATCCAGGAACTGCTGGGATGCCGTCATCGGATCCTGATGCTTGTCAGAGCAGAACGCCTGGAACGAGGACCATTTATCATCATATAGTCCCCGTGTAGATGGACGATGGGCGAAAGCAATAGCCTTGGCTGCTCTAGTCGAATAGCCCTTGGCTCCTAGGGCTTTTTGCAGATGTGCCAGGCGTGCAGATGAAACCGAGCGGGACTTGGGTGGGGCAACCGACTGTGTGGGTGGAGCAGAAGGTTGGACCACGCTGGCAGTTCTAGAGGGTTGTCTCTGGCGACGTTTCGGAGGTCGACAAACCAACTTCTGGCCGGCCACCAAGGCGCGACCAAAATCAGTGTCAAGTGTCGAGTGGCCTGGATCTTTTGAAGAACCCTGGGAAGGAGAACCGGAGGCGGAAAAGCGTACGCGCTTAATCCCTCCAAGGGAACACTGAAGGCGTCGACTGCTACAGCGGCCGGATCCGGGACCGGCGAGATGTAAGTCGGCAGCTGGCAGTTCTGAGACGTGGCGAACAGATCGATGTTTGGAGTGGCGATCGTTTGACAAAGGACTGTGAAGATCTCTGGGTAGAGTCGCCATTCGGTGGGAGCCACCTTGTCCGGCCTGGACAGAGCGTCTGCCAGAACATTCTTGCAACCTGGAATGTGCTGAACAATGAATTGCAAGTCTAAGCGGTCCACCAGGTCGAAGAATCGGAAGGTCTGGTTGAGCAGGGACTGAGAGTGGAGAGTACCCTGATTCCTCAGACACCACACCACGGTGATGTTGTCCGTGGAGATGGTCAACTGGGCGTGACGGAGAATGCTCTGCCAGTGGGAGACGGCCAGTATGAGAGCTTCGAGTTCGAGGTTGTTGCTGTGCCAGTGGAGTCGATCTCCGGACCACAGCCCTGCAACTGTTTGAGTCCCCAGATGAGCCCCCCAACCCTGTTTGGATGCGTCGACGAACAGGTGGAGGGAGGGCTGTAGCGCGGTCAAGGAGACGCCGCCGCAGACGTTCGATTCCACCGTCCACCATCGGAGGAAGGGGTGGAGGTGGACCGGGAGGACGATGAGGGACTCCGGATCCTGCTGCCGGATAAAGGGTGCGAGAAACCGTTGAATTGGACGGAGTTGGAGGCGAACTCTGGCAGTCAGGTCTTGAGCCGACGTGAGGAGACCCAATAGAACCTGCCATTGGCGGAGAGTTCGAGCCTGTTGAAGGGCAGGGAAGAGATGAACGAGGATTTTCAACCACCTGTCTCTGGGGACTTGAAGGAGGTCCTGATCCGTGAGAAACAGGCCCCCGATAAACTGCAGACGGAACGATGGGGTCAGCTCCGACTTGGTCTGATTGACGATCCAACCCAACTGATTGAAGAGCCGCAGGGTAAAATCCCTGTGACGCAGTAGCAACGCCGAGTCCCGATTGTTGAGGAGACAATCGTCGATGTATGGATCGAAGTTGATGTTCCTCAGGTGTAGGTAGGCGGCGACCGGGCGGGTGATCCGTGTGAAAAGCCACGGGGCCGTTGAAATTCCAAATGGTAGGACCGCCCACTGGTAATGGGTACCATTGAAAAAGAACCTGAGGAAGCGCCGGTCGTTGGGGTGGATGGGTACATGAAGATAGGCGTCCTGGATGTCGAGGCTGATCAGGGAATCGCCAGCTGAGATTCTCGTCCTGAGCAGTCGCAACGTCGTCATTCGGAAGTAGGGAGGACGTTCCAGGTAGTGCCGGTTGAAAGTGGAGAGATTGTGTATCATGCCCCAGCTGGTGGTCCCCTTCTTGGGCACCAGAAACACCGGAGAGTAAAATCCTGGGTGTCGAGCCGGGTCGTGTACGACCTCTATGGCCTCCTTCTGCAGTAGGGAAACGATGCTGTCGTGAAGGGGCCGAAGCTGGTGGGGTGAATAAGCGGCTGTTGACGGAGTAGACGTCAGAGGAGGCAGCGCAGACAATGGGAGCCGGTACCCCTGACGGAGGACGTCGGTGACGAACGGGTCCTCCAGTATGGACCAGTTTCTCCAAAACCGGCCTAGTCTCCCACCCACAGGTGTGTCGGTGACCGGAACGGCTGGAGGTGGGAGGTCCAAGTCGTTGAGGTCGCGCCGGTCAACGCTTTGAGGTGGAATCGGCACCCTTGCCGGGGCGACGATCCCTTAGGGGTTGGTAAGTGCCACGGGCTCTACCACGACCACGCCCTGCCCCACGAAAGGGCGAGGTATGTTTGGAGACGACCTTGAGGGAGGAACGGCGTGGTTTATAGTTGCCTTTGGAGGACTTGGCCGCTGATTGGTGTGTTACATGCTCCAAGGCTCTGAGAGCAGTTTCATCCCTGGCGAAGCTGGAGACTCGGGTGTTGGTAGCGGAGATAGCACCATTAAAAAGGGTAGGACCCGACCAAGGTTGTCGTAGTAAGGAACGCTTGAATTCGGAATCCCAGTCCGTGGAAGTCAAGTAACCCAACCGTCGAGTAGTGGTGATCTCCGCAAGCGCAGCTCTCAGGTGATTGCGCATGTGATCGATCTGGCGAAGTTGGAGTGTCATAACCGTGCGCAAGTGGTCGATCCTGTTAGGATTGGATTCAGCGAGATCCTGGTCAATGGCTCTGGCAGATGAGGCAAGTGTAGATAGTGGCTTCAAAGTACGGCGCAGTTCTGTTTCCACGAAAGCGAGTCGGGAGTCCGGCATACGTATGGTGACGGACTGGGAAGACCCCGTCATTCGATGTAAGTCCTCGTCAAGGATATGTGCACTGTCGGCCACGTCGAAGGAGTGGACGGGGAAATCTTCCCGCCGGAAACGCGGAGCCTTGAACGACGGCGTGAGGGACAACTTAGCGAAGTCCTCGTCCAACGCCGTAACAAGGTCAGTGAGCATTGGGTCGGGTGGTAGAGAAGTCGGATTAGACCAGATCGTCAACTTTTTATCCACATCGGAGCCCGGGGAGGGAGCGACGGAGGCCAGACGGTCCGCCAACCAATCAGCAACCTGTGAAAGGCCCAAGTGTGTATCAATCTCGGGAGATGGAGGGTCATAATTGGGGCGAAATGATCCTTCCGAGGAGGAGGAACGACGTCGTCGTCTATGTACGGGTGAGCGACTACGAGAGCGACTACGAGAGCGACGACGGGAACGAGCAGACTTGGACGAGTGCCGAGAAACAGTCGGAGGCGACGAGGTGTACAATGTTCGAGACCGAGAAGCACCCGATGTGGAGGGGGCCGCAGGAATCGAAGTAACAGTAGTCGGGGCCGTCAGCGTCGCCGGCGTCGCAGGAGGCACCGTCGGCGCCGCTGAGGTGGGTTGAGCTTGCGCAAACAATGACTGCATCCAAGCTTGCATCCAAGATGGATCCATGAACGATGACGGAAGGGCATGTCCATAAGTAGGAGGCGCAGCACAAGTCAAAGGCGCCGAAGTAGTCAGAGGCGCCGTATACATCGAAGACATCAGAGGCGCCGGACCAAGAGGCGCCGGATACATCGGAGGCGCCGGACCAAGAGGCGCCGGATACATCAGAGGCGCCGGACCAAGAGGCGCCGGATACATCAGAGGCGCCGGATACATCGGAGGCACCGGACCAAGAGGCGCCGGGTACATCGGAGGCGCCGGACCAAGAGGCGCCGGAGTTGTCGTCGTAGATGGTAGAGGTGACAGGAAACCCGAAACGGGCGATGCTGCAGTGAATCGTTTCCGAGACACTCTTAGGTAGGCGGTGAAGGAGACTGGCGACAGGGGACTACAATAACTGCAACGCTCTGTGAGGTAACACGGGGTTGTACAGTCCAGGCAGCAGGGGTGGGGGTCCCGTCCAGATTTATTCCCGCGGCAGCGAGAGCAGCGAGACATACTGGAATTGAAGCAAAAAACATAACGATGTGTAAACACACAACGTGAAACATAATGTAACTCAACATAACTTATTATTGTTACAAAGTTAATAAGAGCAAACAATTACGCTTCAAACACGCAAAAAACAATCATTAAACTTAATGTAAAACTCCAACCATAGAGCGAATTCAAGACACAAAACACGAAAGTACGTAGACACGTAGTGAATCGCAACAGGGCGGGAAAAAATGGCGGTAAACCAAAATGGCGGGAAACAACAATACGCTCGGAAAAACCGTGACGAGAGTCACAACCCGAGCGAGAAACGTTACCAATTAACAATATAATGAAGGCAAAGGTAATACAGCAGACTTTTGTCGTAGAAAACGAAAGAAAGTCAGGACCAAGAAAGCTTTAATAATTCCACTGAGGGATACAGTTCACGTCCGATCCATGTGGTTGACAAAGCAGTTATGAGTTTTGACATGACGTCATGTCTTCCGGGTCACGTGCCGACTGTGTGGGAGGGGGCGCTGCTTCCTGGACAGATGGAAACAACTTTCTTCAGCAGCTGGATCTCACACAGTTCGTCTCTCTGTCAAAGACAGCAGTAAATGCAATACGGAGTAATGCAGGATAAGTTAAAAAATGTAGATATTACTAATGGATACATGAAAGTGTAGACTATATGAAAAAATAGAAAGTTTGGTGCTAAACTTACAAGTTTTCGATGTTGAGCACCCGTCCCATCAATGAAGATGTTCCTCTGTATACAAATCTCAGAATTGGACGGGATGACCGACACTTTCGGAAACAGACTTCGCATAAGCTGCCCTTGAAACAGATGATCCCTGCTCTCCCTGCCAGAGGTAACCATAGTGATGATGATCATTATTATACATCAAAATTTACGATTAACAGATCCTCCTGTTACTTTCCAGCCATTTAAAAAACCTCCAAAACATTATACCTGTAAATAATCATATCTGGTTAACCTTCTATCTCCAAACTGTCAGATACACTGACACGTAAACATATAGAGAATCTCAACTGAGTGCCTTTTCATATCAAATATATCAACACGAGTTTGAGTTTTTCCACTTTAATCAATGAGTGTTGATATATTTGATATCAAAAGACACTCGGGTGAGATTTTATTTATCATCCAACATCATTCTTCCAACTTTTTCAGTTTGTAGACAGTAATAAGCAGTGTCGCCAAGGCTCGCTAAATACAATGTTTATTCCTAATGCAGGATATTTACCATCCCCAAACACACTCGCGTGATAACCTCTGTATACACAAGAAAATACTGTACAAGGCACAATGCAGCACTAACTTATTCAAGAAGAGTATTTTTAATATTTTTCCCTCAGGTCAGATCAATTATTGTCATGATATCAAGGTAAATTGCTGTATTTTTCACAAATTGTTTGGATCTGATATTAGATATATTAATAATCTCAGTTTGTGTTGATTGGAGATTTGATGTTTATTTACTTTTTTAGAAATCGTCAATAATTAAACCAAACCTGCAAAGTAGGGTTTTGTGGTAGACCAATCAAGCTCCTCACAGCGATAGTCCGTTCCCGGAGCTCTCTATACTATCGCTGCCACCAGTCAAAACTCCCCACTGTGATAGGTGGCCACAACCATGCTTGGAGTTGAACTCGCAACCAAATGACCGTTATGTTTACAAACAAGTGACGACTGTCGTGATGCCGAATACACTTACCCCTGCTAAATTACTTTCTTTGTTTGTCAATTTGAATTTCTATTTTATTAAATCTATCATGTTATTGATATAGTAAGAATGTAAGGGAGAAGTTGGTTGATTTTCTGTTTGTCTGCAATCTCGAACCAATCTCATGATACAAACAACAAAGTAAATTCATCTGGAAAACATGGTCAGTCGTAAACCTTTTCAAAATTAACTATGATGGCATTCCCAAAGACATAAACAAAAGTATAAACGGTACTACATTTGGGGTTAGAGGGCAAATTTCAAGATTCTTGTAATGGCCGCGCCCACACTGGTGGCAGCGATGTTACCGAGAGTGTAACGAAGGTTTCGGGGAGCTTGTAGACCAATAGGCTAAGGGAAGCAACTCTCTGTCAATAGGGCCGAGGGAGGCAACTCACTGACCTGTCATTACAAACTGTTTTCCCTTTTTCATAGTTTTCCCAGTGCTTTTAAGAAATCACTTTGAAACATTAACAGCTCCTTTTTAATGACAAGTCAAGGGATTACTCCCCTTTTCCTATTGATCTAGATCTCCTGGTACTTTTAAGCAATTGTTTTCTTTTCATGAAATTAGTGAATAAATTGTCAGAATGACATCTTTAACGATAAATACACAACACAATGATATCCAATACGTCCAGACGCTGCTAATATGGCATCTTTCTTTCTGGGTTAGCCCTGGTGGGAATTCAGCCAGCAAAATTCATGGTAGTCCTCTAACCCGCGACTATTAAATTGTGTTGAGGACAAGAGTAAGACTCCAATGCTAGAACATTTGAGGGCTATAATTCTGAACCAGGTCTCAATGCTTCAATCTTGCTACAAATTAGAACTGAATAAAGCTAACAGCACATGTAAATGGGTCCAAGATATTTATCATAAAACAATTGAGATATAACATGCTGGAACCAGTTTTGTCCTCTGCACCAATCTTATAAAAATCCCTAATTTCTATAGCTTGGAATAAAAGTAATACAAGTTTGTTTGTTTGTTTGTTTATATATTAACTTGTTGTTTAATGCCGCAGTATTCAATATTTCAGCTATACAAATGCAACCTGTAAATGTTCAAATCTGGCCCAGACAATCCAGTGATTTATGAAATAGCCACATATGATCCACATTTAGGTAACAAATATTATATTTGGATAACACAATTTCTTAGTGAAGTACAGATTCTAGTACTTTTAGTGTTGAGTCCTATCCGGGATTTCGGACCCACACTGCCAGAGTAAGGCACCTAATAGCCAGCACAAAAAGTCAGGTATCTAACACACTCAGCCCAGAGGCTTCTACAAAATGAAATTCTGACAACTGGTAGTCTAGATCACGTACTTTGTGTACCCCTCTGACATGTGTAAATTGGCACGGCTCCCATGGCCGAAAGCTATAAACACACAATGCCATTTAGAAAGTACTAGATTCTGTACTCTCCTAAGAAAGTGTTATCCCAAATATGACATTTGTTACATATGACCACTTTCTAAATGGCATTGTGTGTTCACACAGTTAGGGTATGATGAGACTTAACATGACCACCCAATTCCATACGTCTCCTCTAACGACCAGCATCGGTTGCTGGAGACGAACTCTGACCCAGACTCCCCCTGGTGGTGACACATGTACCTACAATGATCCGGATTAATGGGAATGGCAACTACAAATTATTACAAGCATTTCATACAAACACCACTGTTGATCGAGCTTTTGTTAGAATTTAGAGTTTTTACTAGAATTACGTCCCTTGGAAAAAAAAGTGCCATACGGTCGGATTGCAAACTGCAAATAACGGAGCTGTCTGCGATTGCGTGAGATTGATGTGTTTGAACTGTTTCCATGTGTAATGCTGCACCCTTGGGTGATCCATCATGTTTTACATACATATTTGCATTCATGTGACATATTCATGACTTGAAAGACAATATTTGACCATGTGTGAGCCTGAAACTGCAATGATGTCTGACAGAATAAGAATTGTTTTGAATTTTTGCTCCCTCGACAACTTGGAAACAACAACTACACCTCCTATCTCTGATGCATCCTTTTCGGCTATGTATTTATTCCAAGTTTGAATTAAATCATTATAGATTCATTTTTGTATAATAGTATGAACCTGTTTCAGTAAGAGAGCGATACCTACCAGTTACATGAGAACTTTTCCTCCTGAATTATTTTGTCAAGCAAATCTGGTCGAGCAAGATCCCTTGTAGACTGTGCCCAGTCGGCTGTACACTCCAGGGGATGTTTGGCCAGCATGTGGTTGTCCTTGAACTTGTGTAAAACTTGCCACACGTCACGGAGATGTACCGGAGCCTGGGCACCCTGCATCATGTCACAACTTGTGAATCAGTGGCCTGAAGTGATGCAGGTCTTAGACATTCACCACGTTGGTGAAATCCATGAGCATTGGTATGGTGCTGACAAACCTAGATGTATAATCAAGGCAAAACTGGCCCTCCCTGTTTTACAGCACTGGTTTTAAATAGGAAAATTACATAATTTTTAATCTCGTGGGCTATTCTCACTGCATTAAAAATGGTGGCAGAACATGTTCAAAATTGTGCAACTGCTTGTTAATGCATGGCATATTTGAGTCAGACCCACACTATGAGTCCTGTTCGAAACTTCCATGTTTACTAGATGCACTAGTGACCTTACACAGGCATAGGACTTGTGACAATTGTCACAGAACCAACAGAAGAAAGCTGCATGTACTTTCTTCTATGTGTGGGTATTACGTAATTTGTTTTATTTACCAATAGATTCAATAAACTTTAAATACCAATTTCTGTGACATGTCTCTTTGAACAACCTTGACGTTTTTGTTTCCTAAACCGTAAATGTGAATAATATATTACTCGATAACAATGAATAGAACCCATTCATGTATGAAATCAATAAAATTACCATCAAATTTTGTAGTTTGGGCAACGTCTCTAACATAATGACAAACTTTCTCCTCAATGATTACAACTTGTATTTCTGTGGAACATTTGAGTGTGAATGGTTGACTTGACAGTCAAAGGGAGACAACTCCTGAAAATGGTTCTTTTTTATACAAATTGTATTTCTGTGGAACATATGAGTGTGAATGGTTGACTTGACAGTCAAAGGGAGACAACTCCTGAAAACGGTTTTTATTATACAAATTGTATTTCTGTGGTATATTTTAGTGTGACTGGTTGACTTGACAGTCAAAGGGAGACAACTCCTAAAAAAGATTATTATACAAATTATATTTCTGTGGTACATTTTGGTGTAAATGGTTGACTTGACTGTCAAAGGGAGACAACTCATATAAAAGGTTATTATTTATCCTTCTTAAATAGGATGAGACGATTACCCTGAAAACCATTGGTCCTGACATGGAGATGTCGAACTCAGTCGTGGCCGTCATTTCTTGTGCCGTCTTCATCTCCTGGCAGTTGATGCAGTTCTTCGAAGGGTCATTAAACATGGGATTTTCAATGAGGCATTCCCAGTCGTAGTACTCTTGAAGAAGAAAAGGTCCAAGTGAAGACATTAGTACAGTACGTCTTTCATGCATAGCTGCAATATTGCTTAGTGCGGTGTTGAACAATAAACAAACAAAAACATCAATTAGCTTGTTGTATCTATACTAGACTAACATCTAGTCTCTGAAATGAACATATCGTACAGAAAAAACAGTTGTTCAGTTATCTTAATAAAAATATAATAAAAGGGAGCCCAGTGACTCTCTTCATTTTCAGATACTGCAGTAATCTAGACTTGCCAAACATTATTGACTTGCATGGGCTGTATTTGATATATATTTGTATCAGGGTCTGTAAGACAGACTATATCTATACATGCACAGACCAAGCTTCTGAAGCAAGGCATATAGATCCAGGATTCGAACCCATGTGCAGCTGATCCTGGTATGGCTAAGGGACTCATCTCTGCACAATGAGATGGTTTGGTTTAGAACACTAGCTTAACCCTCTTGGTGCCACGGGACCATATATGGTCCCTCACTTTTCACTTAAGGATTGACTGTGTATTTTTTTCGGTTCATTGAGGTATGAATTGAAAAGCCGATGTGCAAAAGTTTGCACATCGGCTTTTCGATTCATACCTCAATGAACCGAAAAAAATATACAGTCAATGCTTATAATTAAATTCGACAATGTAAAACATGTTTTATCTACAATAGTTTAACCCAAAACAGTTGCATATATCAAAACAGACAAAAATGACGACATTGATAATCATTCCAGGTGTAGGAATACATACAGTGGCGTGACCTGAATCAGGTGATCGTTTAATTTATGCACATGACTTGACACGCCTACACAGTCAGTAGCCAATCAACGGAGAGTGGGATTAAAACAATCTTCATTTGACCTGTCAATTAAGGCAAGAGGCGAAAAGAACTGCAACAGTCAGACTGTAACGAACCGGAAGAAATATGTCCGAGAGAAGGCGGCAGTTTCGAATAACATGGTCATTTACTGCGTGATTCAAACATTACTTCCCTGATTACAGTAAATCACAGTTGGAGAAATGCTAGTTATAAATGAAACCGGAAGACATGAAAGTTGAACCGGGGCGAGCGGGAAAAAAACAGGCGAGCGAGCCTGCACGTTTGCTGTTTCATTCATTCTCGGCCTTCGGTTTCAAAGGGTAGTTTGGACAATGAATATGCATGAACGTCGCTAAATGTCCTGTGCATGACGATACACGTGAGCAGAAAGGGAATTCCCTCGACTGTAATTTTGGGATTCCCCGACATTCCGAAGTAATAAAAGTAGTGCGCCGCGGTGGGCGTGGCTTAATTTTTTACATTCATTGGGAACATTCGTGACCAACTCGTGTTATTCCGGGACAAGCCGAATAGCGACTCGTGCCCCTCTCATGGCCATTTTTGCGACCGGGTTCCGTCTTAGCGCAAACGGGCATACCTAAAACTATTGTCAACTCGTTGCGTAATGGTTCACATATATTTCCCCATATATCATATAGATTTCAGATGCAATTTAAAGCACATCGGGACATGCGGAATTATATATACAGTATGATTGACCACATTTAACTGTGTCTTGGGTATATTTTTACATTTAACACATATGTTAAATCAAAAATTGTTTCTGAGGGATTCTTTCACAAAGAACTTGTAATCATACGCGCATTCTGATTGGTCTGTCGTATTTTCGCACATAACATTCATCGATAGGGGGACGAGTCTTCTTGCGGGTTACGGAAAGGGGCGAGTGGTGACGAATGTCATTGGGAAATGAATGCAATAACACGTGACCAATTCAGCTAATCAGAATGCAGGAATTTCCATGAACACAACGAAAATTTAATTATACCCGCATAGTGCCAGGGGACCATATATGGTCCCGAGAAAATGCCCTTTTTAAACTGTGAATTTTGATATCAAACACTGAGTGCGCAAAGTCAAAACTTTAACCATCATCACCCCAATCATCTTAGCTTTAACATCGTGTAACTCATACTTTATGCAATGCTACGGATTGCGAAATATGGCGAGATTGGTAAAGTGGCTACCGCACTTCTTCGCCTTTTTCTGCCATGTTTGAACACCAAGCGAATGACGGCGAATTTTGATTATGCACCCATGTCACATACACGTAAATATTTTCAGACAAAATCCTTGTTCATAAGAAAAAATATGACCAGAGTGGTCAGAAAGACATATTTTTCCCAACTGTATACTTATTCACGTAACTACAACTCTGTTCACTCCTTTATGAACAAGTTTATTACACGTTTTGTATATTTTTATCGACTCTCGGTAATGGCGGAATGGTCGGTACACATGAGAAAACGAGTGTATATTTCCATTACATTTATGACGTTCATTGAATGAATTTATAACCATCATCACCCTAATCATCTCAACGTTAATATCGTGTAACTCATATTTTATGCAGTGCTACGGATTGCGAAATATGGCGAGATTAGTAATGTGTTTACCGCGCTTCTCGATCTTTTTCTGTCATTGCGAATGAAGGCAATTATTTATCATGCACCAATGTCACACACACGTAACTATTATTATATCAAACAGCCAATTTGAAAAAAAAATCTGATCGGATTGGTCAGGTAGGTTTACTAGTCCCCACTGTAAGTTATTGGCGTAAGAGTACTAACGTTTAGTCGGCCACGGAAGTTTTTTGTTCAAGTATTGCATATGTTTATCGACTGTGTGTCATGGCGATTTAGCACGGCGCTACATACCAACTCACATTTCAGATTGTCTTTTTGTTTATGATGCTGATTTAATGAAAATATACAAATCAAAGATATGGAAAGATAGCCATAATCGTTAATATTAAGTTGGTATAGTGTATATTTATGGGCAGGAGGTTCATGATCAAAACCTAAACATTTAATGGCCAAGCACGAAGTGATCGACAGGGCACGTTCGCATCATATCTGTGCCGCGATTTCTTGTTTACCGGTTGTCCTACATACTCGCCCGTTCAGACAAGTAACTGCTACGTTTTTAATATGAAATGACTAAGAGTCATGTGTGATTGCTCAAACTATCTGACCGTGTGAGTGACTTGCCCTAACTGTTTCAGATTTTGTCGCAAATGGAGATTTCAAAAGTGTGGCCACAACATCTAACGTGAGTCGACGCCATATTGTAAACAAATTGTGTCAAGGTCGGTTCCACATGTGGTAGCTCGGCCCCCGTTTCTGTCGATGGTACACGTGATACAAACATAATGCAACTACTGAAAACATCAACATAACTTCTACAATGATGACATCAATACCTTTTTGTATTGGATTAACCGCTTATGGATACGCTGTGCTGTTAAGTTCGATTTCGATTTGTTTTTCCTTTCATTGAAACTGTGATAATGGCGCTGTGATTGGTTTGCTGAAATAGTATTTTCCATGAGTCTAATGTACATGTAACATGCTGTGATTGTAGAAGATAATTGATAACCAATTGTGTATGCATTTATATCATCAAATACACATTACTAATCTCTTCAGAAAATGGAATATATCATAGCTCGTTATCAAACATTCTGCCATGGATATAAGATCAAAAAATAATATTAGATTTACAAATTATTTATGTACACTGTACTCTCTATTAACGTATGATAATCTATTGCAAGTCTTCAACCCTTATTTGATATGTCATCTGAAATGTCAGCAATGAGTACAATTAATTTTATTTCGTTACAATCTGCATTTTTTTTCAAATAGGCTAATAGACGGTCGGTGATTTCCCGCCGTGTGAATTTGTCGTCTGGACAGGTGCGCGTGATTTGACCTCGCGTGTTGTGACGTGGATGACGTCACATGAAACAGCTGATCTAATGTTGTGGTAGTAAAATGGATACACGTGGTTTCATTTTCCAAATAACAATATTCTCTTTGTTATAGTTACAACACGCCAAGGCGAGTTGTTTGGGGAGCACGGTTTGGCTTGGCATTTGATTGACAGACAAAAGGACCTCGGGGCTCCGCCCCTCGGTGATCCTTTTGTCTGTCAATCAAATGCCAAGCCAAACCGTGCTCTTACTGCCCAATCAACGAGTTGGTGGGTGTGTTGTAAGTGACTTGTAGCACGGGTTGCGACGGTCATTCCAAAATTGCGCGAGTTTGTGTAAAATTTAGTGACGTATAATATGACGTAACGTTAACGTTTAATCTAATTGTTATATCAAGTGTAAACTTTGGAATTTTCAAAGGCACATTAGAAATGTCAACTATTAATTTTCCGAATTAAGCAAAATGCGTTCTGTGTCCAGTTGTTTTTATGTTTGACAGTTACATTGTAATCTTTTAATTAAGTTATGAACATTTCTATTGTTTTTTGTTGTTTATTTACGTTATTACTCTTGAACACTGTGTACAACACTAAAGAAACATTGTAAGTTTGAAATTTCTCAAGCTAGTAGGCGGGGCTTGCTGATCTTGGCATCAGCTAATGGTAATAATCTTTAACAAACCGTGCTCTTACTACCATGATACAGCACGGGTAAGATCAAAGGTACCGCTCGCAACCCGTGCTACAAGTCTGAACTAGAAAGCATATCTAGTACATCACGATTGGAAAATGTCTACAGCGACCGACGAGTGAATGAGACCGCTTGTCATTGGCTAACAGTGTTAGAATATTTGGCGCAGTTTTCTAATTTTGGTATGTTGACATGTGCTTTTCATATCTGTTTGAAGGCTTGATTTTCCAAAAAAATAATATGCATTTAGTTGAGTACATTGAGAAAGCTGTCAAAATGGATCCAATATTTAACCACCTAGATTTTTAATATTTTAGCTTCATCTATTGGAATCTCGAATGGTCCAATTTATAACATAAACAGTAAAAGTAATTAGATCTTCTCACAATATAGAGATAATAAATTTCTGAAAGACAAAAAGTTTTTAGTGTAAATGTGACTTCGTTTTGATGTTTTATATAGTTATATTTATGTCTTTTTTCACTCTGCATGATCTAAATTACCAAATACTTCGACCAGTGACATATAGTAGTAATTAGAATTTACTTTGCTTTGTATACTAGATATGAAATAGATTTTCTTTTCAAATAAATATTTGTCTAAGAGCAAAATCAATACATTCTTGTGGGTTTTTTCCACCATTTTAATTTGTATATCTTCCCTCCAAGCTGTTGTTTAGCTATGCCAAAATTAAGAAAAAAAGGAAAGACATAATAAACCAATTTTTATTAAAGATTTTGCCTGTTAAATTTTCGAAGTTCAATACCAAGAATATATTTTTCCTTTTATCTATTTCAAACTTTTCCTTTAGTAGAATGGGATGGAATGGGAAACTAGTGGAAATAAACTATCACGTATGTCCTCAAATGTACATGTATATACCTAGCTAGGTGTAAATACACTTCTAAAGTCGTATTTATAAATCAAATGAATAAATGAAAGAAAAAGTGGTATTTCATGGACTGGCCATACAAGTATATTTTGAGCAAAGATCAAAGTTAGGCAGCCAAGTGCGAAATACGACCTGATACGAGGATGTATGTTTTCTGGTGGTCATAGTGAATAATGACATACGGCGCCCGAGTTGCGAGTGATCGAAATTAGGTTTGTTGAATAGATTTGCTGCCCATGAAAACGTTTCAACAATTTTGATTGAATCTACATGTACTTACTTTTGGGTGGTATTACGTTAGTATAATCTTGACAAATTATTAAGAAATAATAATGATGCCCGATATTGAGCGATGTCAATTTGAGAATTGTTAGGGCTGTTTAGCGATCTTTCACATTTTGTCCTTTGAAAATGTACGATGTCAATTACCCCGAAGTTGTTTTTCTCACTAATAAAAGAGCACGGTCATTGAAACATACATGGACGTAACCGGGATTTCTTCAAGATATACATTCCAAACTGTCATTCGTTTTGTGACATAATCTTTGAAACAGTCTGCATATGAATTAATCACGACCACTTCCGTCATAATTTTGTTTTGACGTCAAAAACACGCACAATTTTTTTATCGGTAAATATAACTCACGAAAAATTTGCAGTGAATGTGTACTTCAACATAAATATCATATGTCTATCACGGTTATATCCCAATAGTTAGACGTCCCATTAGTTAGACGTCCCAATTGTTAGACATGTTTATTCGGGCAAAGAGGGAATATACCTACAGGTGTAATGGATCGGTCCTAATTAGATTAAAGTACTGGGTAGGGATAGGGGACTCACAGTTTAGGGAGTAATATATGTTATAATTTCGTTTAATTAACCTAAATTACCTTACTCTCAGCACAGGTTCAATAGGCATGAGATTTCCTATGTAAACTATGGAGTAGCTTAATTGTCTTACTGTATGATTAGTTGAAGGAGTCGAGTTTAGATTATCTACTCATCAAACAAATAAAAATGATCTTGGGGTACGTATCATTATCAGTATCGATATGGTTGGTTAAAGGTAAGTAGAGTACCTCACCTCTCGGCTCGGAAGTGAGCAGTTGATATTAGATGGATATATTTACAACAGAAACCGCGAGAGGCAAACCTGCACACATTGGAGCTGTGTCGTCAAGACGTGCAATGGGAAATGTACGACTGTCGGTGACTTTCTTTGCAATCAGTCGGAACATAACCATCCGCCTGAAGATGAAACCAGAGTGAACTTTGTCTGCAATCTTCGTAAAAGAGCGCGAGAAGAAACCAAACAGATGCAGGCATTGTACGAGGAGCAAGTCACTCAAGTACATGTAGATGAAGCCAACATGCCAGCGATGCCGTCATTTCAGAGCGTGAAAGGTGCACTTTACAGGTAAATATCATCCCGTATTTTTGACTTGGTTAGAATTTACTCTTTTTTTAGGTCCCACATAACTTGTTTCGCTCTTAAACATTTCAAGTTAATGAAATCATTATCAATATTTCATGTAACATATGTGTAACTGTTCCTTTGCTCTTGTTCAGGCGTTACATTCGAGCGTTACCCAGGTCGCGGTCAGCAGTAGACATTGAAGACAAATGGTCAGAGACAACAGATGGACGTCCCTTTCTACTGTTCAGCGACGGCGACGATGACAAGATCCTGGCGTTCTCCACTGCAGAACAGATACAAGCACGCCAGGAAGCTGACACCCTTTACATGGATGGTACCTTCACAGCATGTCAAGGTTTATGGGATCAAGTATACATCATTCATGCCAGAGTTGGTCCCAACACCTTCCCTCTTGTGTTCGCCCTTTTGCCAGATCGCCAAGCAACAACCTATGGCCGGCTTTTTCGACAACTGAAGACAGAAGTTCAAGAGCGATTCAACAGACCTCTGTCACATAGCACACTTGCTTCGTCTGGGATAAATAAACTGTAAAAGTTATTAAATGTAAAGTGTACATTACCAAAAACTGTCACAAAGTGTTGTTACAAACTGTATAAAATTTATCAAATGTAAAAGTGTCATTAAATGTTAAGTATAATATTAAAGTATCTTTTTAAAGCTGCTTTCCTTTGTTTGTCAGATCTTATCTGGACTATTCCATTTTAAAGTCTGAGGTAACAAGCATAAGGATTAGTGTGCACTCAACCGTTTAAAGTGTTGTTATAAGATGTCTAACTATTGGGACGTCTAACTAATGGGAGGACACCTCTATCACTGTTAGGACATGTACTTGCCAATTATATGAATTATTGGTCATTTAGATTTCAAACAAGGGCGCTTACTTGACTTTGCTTGCCGTATTCGGGTGTGTCCATATCACGATTAATGTGGAAGAGTAGTAACTTATAATACCAGCACTTTTATCGATGGCTGGGCAGTGCATAGATCTTTTGGATTTGGTGACTTTAGATACTGTAGAAAAGACAATCAACTCGAGTTGCATGTTATACAATTTGGTTACATTGTGTGAAGAAATAAAGACGTTGCAACACTTTTGATACAATGTATACCTTTTTGTAACCGCGACGTCATCACAGTGCGGCACTGAGCGGTTTGCAGGCTGACTGACGTCCAGGCACCATGAGGGTTAAAACAGCTAGACAAATTTATTTTTTCCTTCAATCTTCAAAACAAACAACTTTGCCCAAATTTGCATTAATCACACATACAGAATAGAGCACAATTAAGTTTTCTACTCTGAGTAAAATATAAATAGTAAACATAAAAAGTAATAATTCTAATGGGTTGTGACAGAACATATAGTATGATGATCCACTGTAAATGAAATACCGCGATAATATAGTGTACCATCATAGTTATGTAGATATAGTCCTAATCATAACAGTTGTACCTTTAAATCAGTGTGGGACTAAATTAGAATAACGCTGTATTGGGTCAACCCATACTTGCCGTATAAGGCGACTAACGGGATCGGATGGTCAGGCTAGCTAACTGGCTGATAGGCCCTACATGTCATCGATCTCCATTGCGTTGATCGATGCTTATGATGTCAATCAGTGGACTGTCTGGTCCAGACTCGATCATTTACAGACCGCGTCATATAGCTGGAATATTGCTGAGTGCGGCGTTAAACAACAAACAAACAGATAGTAAACAAAGCAGACGACGTTTTCTCTGACATTTACGATTAACAAACAAACAAATCAACACTTACTGTCAATGCGAAATGCTTGCTGAAGCGGAACACTCACGCTGAGACGCATCGCCCTAAGTATGTTGTAAGCATATGGGAGCATGAGCTGATAGGATAAAAATGACCTGGCTTGAAATACCATCACGCCCGCTGCCAACGTCGTCGCGACAAACAGCACCCCTGCCAGTCTAAAACATATGTTGAAGCACCATCGACATCGGGACCAAGTCTCCCGGGCCGCGAACTTTCTTGCTTGGGAGTTGCGATCTTTCTTTTTAGGTAATTCCTTGGTGTCTACTTTCATCGACATGGCTCGCTGAACACATGTTTCTATCTCCGCGTCGTTCAACCCCCATTCCTTGCCTAGATTACGAAGTTCAGACACATTTTGTCTGACATAAGCGAGCGCTTCCTGGATTTCAGTCGTCATGTTGGACACGCAGAACAGCACAGTCCCCAGTTGTGTCCTTGACGACTAAACTGGCGGGATTGCCTAAAAGTCGGGCCAAGAAAAGTCGGGCCGGGCCGGGCCAGCGGGTAATACTAAAAATGGATTGCAGAATAATAAAACGAAACGCGCATATCTAGGCAGATCTCAAATGTCCACAAACGTATAGTTTTGCTCATTTAATTGAGTTTGAATAAAAATGCACCTTCAACAATGTAATTAACTGATGATTATGACTACATACCGCGAGTCTCGTAGAAAAGTCAGCGTCTTGACTGTGTATTCTTTGATTAGAACGCTTCTCACCGACCTTAGCGTGTAGGGGTGTGATGTCCTGGGCAGGAAACGACAGTGTTTTGACTACTCTTCTTTCATTAATTAACGTGTTAAGGTAATTAACCTTTACTAATTCGTGTTAAACTAACACAGGATGTTTTCTGGAAGTGGATATTCGCGAATGTCAAAAGACTGACACGACACGTGTTAATAACTGTCCAAGCACTTCTAAAGTTCCTAACATTATTTATATCTAAAGACTAGTATTATATCTAATTATTTACCACTTTATTGTCTCATATTTCAGTAGTTAAAGAAAACACAGAGCTCAAAGTGAAGCCCTTTTCACTCTACATTCTCAACATAGTCTCTATCAGAAGTGTTTGGCTTGTGTTGGGTTCGACTTGGGCCGGGCGGTCAAAATCAACTTTAAACGCACAGATGTATCTTCAAATGTGTTTACATCTATAGATTAGTATTATATCTACCTTTACACCACTTTATAATGTCCAGGTGCATCGCATTTAAAGAAATCTGCGCCGTTAAAGTGAAGCATTTTTACTGTATTTTCTTAAAAAAATCCAAGTCAGAAATGTTCGGTCCGACTTGGCCCGGGCTGTTAAAATCAACTTTAAACACACAGATGTATCTTAAAATGTGATTAAATCTATAGATTAGTGTTATATCTACCTATACACCAACTTATAATGTCACAGATCGCAGTATTTATAGAAAACAAGGGGCTCAAAGTGAAGCCCTTTTCCCTCTACATTCTCAACATAGTCTCTATCAGAAGTGTTTGGCTTGTGTTTGGTCCGACTTGACAAACCTAGAAACATAATCGGGGCGAACCGAGATTCGAACCCACAATCATAGGTTTCTGGCGTGCCCAAGGACGCAACCCACAAATGATAATATATACATACAATGCTTGTTTTAGTTTCTGTAAAGGGGCAGTTCAAAAATTCAATGTAGGATATAAAGAGATAAAGAAACTTTGAGACCGAGTTTTCGAGTTCGTCAAGTTAACACTTTTCCCTTAACTCGTTTCATACGTACGATCAAAGACCATATACCGAGTATAAACAGCAATTTAAACGACCAATGACTTAAACTACAGATTCCCCGGAAAGTTGATTTTGACTATATTTGTGGGTTTTATTTATATGGAGTGAGTGAATTAAAAACTTAACGTCGCATAAGCATTATTTTATCTATATCAGCCATATGGAACCGACGGCATTACCAAGGACACGGTTTTCATTTAAGAAAATACCTTTAGAATACAGTACCACAAACTTTTCAAACACGTGACAATACCCTATGACGTAAGTTGTAGTATTTTGTTGCCAGTCACACCGGCGAAACAATGCAATGCCCTGTAACGTCAGGGGTCATCGAGTGTGCATAAACCCCTCCCAGTGATCTATCACCTCTATACGCAATGTCACTGAATACACCCAGCGATGTTGAGAGTTTTGAATATTTGTTTACTAAATAAAGCCTGCGGCGGCGCATTTTATATCAAGCGTTAGTTTACTGAAGAACTTTTATTTTCACTTTATGTTTTATTTATCCCCCACCCCCCCGTAATTCAAGTGGCTAAAATGGTTATAAAATGGGGACTAATATACATATTTTATTTTTTCGGTTCATTAATTTTCATTTTAATGCACAAGAATGCAGTTTATTAGGGATAATATATTGGCGCTGAACACATCCAACTGTCGCCAGTGTTAGGTTAGGTTACCCCGTACTCTATCCTTAGCCCTTGGATCCCCTTTACGATCAATCATCCCTTTACGATCATTAGGGTTAGGTTACTGTTTAGTGGCCATTATAGATTCTATAGCGGCTCCTAATATTCTTCACACAAAAAACGTCGAGTAAAAAGGATGAAATGGTTTCGTGTCGAATATTTTGGCTTCTGGAAACTGTCCTGGAACATTCACACAAGCCCAATCACCCGCTGCATCAGAACTGATTCCAACGCGAACTCACCCTTATGTCGTCACTAGTCATGCTCATGCCTCCCTCGTTCCTTACTATTATCCATATTATCCTTACAGTGTTCCCTACCACACTTTTCTGTCACAAAAATCACCCGACGAATTATCAAATACATTCATGCGTACGTCTGACGCCTGGAGCCGTTTTCAGTTCGCGCCATATCGGCTCATTCCTCACCACTCGGTATCTTGTAGATTACGGAATGGGACGAGTGTGCCAAATGGCATCAGGATCACTCTTTGAGTGTCCGTAGACTTAAGTCACGAGACACCATGCCTACCCGTAACCTGCGTAAATGTCCGTCAACTATTCTACCCTTTTCGTTTAGTCCCGTAACGTCGTAGGCAGGACTAGGTAAATTTGCACTTGGATTCACAGTGCTACTGTATTCTAAAGGTGCTCAACAATCTCCAGTTATGACATCATTTCTAGTGTGAAGTCATTCCGACCTTACGTCACAATAAGAATCGAATGACGTCACTGTTCACAATGCATCTGGAATCTGCAGTCTATGAATGTCACGTTTAGTCCGCAATGGAAGTTTTTTGTTCAAGCGTTGCATATTTTTATCGACTGTTTGTCTTGGCGATTCAGCACGGCGCTTGAGACGAAACGACAGTGTAGATTGTCTTTCTGTTTATGATGCTGATTTACAGAAAATATTCAGATCTAAGATATAGAAAGATAGCTCTGTGTTGTGTATGCTAAATACTTCCGACGTTTTGAGCAGCCACCAACGGCTGGTTTGAGGATGATATGGAGGACTTCTCTTGTGTCGAATGCCATTCCACGACTCAGCTCCTTGCAAACTTGCCATTCATTGTCATGAATCTAGAAAATTCCTCTGATGTGTACTGGGACCATTGTCAGATACTAGTACATCAGGTATTCCATGAGTTGAAAATATTTGTCGTAGCACAGCGATTTTCTTGGAGACGGTTGTACTTGTCAACCTCTTGATCAACAGAAAGTTCTGTTTTTCTTTGAAAGAAAGATTGTAATTCGTCGTCAACGTTTGCTGGCCAGCCATTCAAAATGTACAGAAGAATTTTTGATAGGATTGGATTTTTTCTTGTAAATTTTGAAATTTCTTTGGCAGTTACTGGTAGGTCATTTACCAGTGAAAGATTTGACTTTCTTCTGGCCCATGTTTGTTTTGTAATGGGAGACGTGAGAGTAGGTCAGCGTTAGCATGATCTTCAGTCCTTTTGAATTCAATGTCATGTTAGCCTATATGTGTATGCAGAGAGAATTAGGGTCCATCTCTGCGTTCTTACTGCAGCAAGAGTAGGAACAGCCTTCTTTGGTCCTAAAATAGCTAGTAGGGGTTTGTGGTCTGTGACTGGGGTGAAATGTCTTCCATAAAGATATTCATGGAACCTTTTCACTCCATAGACTAAGGCAAGTGCTTCTTTTTTAACTTGTGCATGGTTTTGTTCACTCTCCTCTGATGTTCGTGAGGCATATGCAATTGGCTTCTCTGTTCCATTGGCCATTACATGAGAAATCACAGCTCCAAGTCCGTAGTTTGAAGACCCGTGAAGATCCGGTGTAGAATAGGTCTTCAGCCACCCATGCTTGCCGTAAAAGGCGACTATGCTTGTCGTAAGAGGCGACTAACGGGATCGGGTTGTCAGGTTCGCTGACTTGGTTGATAGCATGTCATCCATCCCAATTGCGTGGATCGATGCTTATGATATGAATAACTGGATTGTCTGGTCCAGACTCGATTATTTACAGACCGCCGTCATATAGCTGGAATATTGCTGAGTGCGGCGCAAAACAACCAACCAACCAACCAACCAACCAACCGTAGTTTGAAGCATCACATGCTAGTTTCACTGGAAGTTCATTGTCGTAATGTATCAACACTTTAGCAGATATGAGCAGACTTAGCATCGTCAGCAGGCTTTGGCAGGGGGTATTTATCTACTTCAGTATTTGGATTGAGTGTTACTCTAAAATCCCCCTAGATTCTAACTTCATTTGACTTTTTAGGTACCACTTCAATTGGTGTAGCCCATTCACTTGTTGTAACTTTGGATATCACCCCCTCCTCTTCTAATTGGGGCGGTCGGGTAGCCTAGTGGTTAAAGCGTTCGCTCGTCACGCCGAAGACCCGGGTTCGATTCCCGTACAATGTGTGAAGCCCATTTCTGGTGTCCCCCGCCGTGATATTGCTGAAAACGGCGTAAAACCATACTCACTCACTCTTCTAATTTACCCAATTCTGCTTCAACTTTAGGTCTGAGTGCATATGGCACAGGTCTTGCCTTCATGAACTTTGGCTTTGTATTTGTTTGTTTATATAAATGAGGCAAAAACATAACACTATGATCGTTAAATTAAGGTGGTATAGTGTATAGTTATGGGCAGGAAGTAAACAGGAACGTAAACAGGGCACGTTCGGATCATAGCTGTGATCCAAATTGTCGTCTACCAGTTGTCCTTCATGCTCGCTGGGCAAATAACTGCTGCTTTTTTCATATATTTTCCATGTTCAATGCCAAAAATATATTTTTCCTTTCATGAATTTTGATTTTGATTGAATTTACTTGTACTTTCTCTTGGGTGGTAATTCGTTAGTATAATCTTGTTAATTATTATGAAATAAGAATGGTGTCCGATATTGAGCGATGCCAGTTTAAATATTGTTAGGGCTGTGTAGCGATCTTTCACAAAATGTCTGATGTCAATTACCCCTAAGTTGTTTTTATCACTAATGAGCACTGACACTGATATCAACATGGACGTAACCGGGATTTCTTCAAGATGTACATTCC